TGTTGTAGGGACCCACAGAGACCGTGTTACATGTTAAATTGCATGCTAAATTGCTATTGTACTCAGTCTCTATTTTACTTCCATATCATATCTCAGTCTCTTTTGTTCCTTGTTGATACATTACATCATTTATGTTTGGGCTGATTCTTCATGATTTCTGGGTGCCCGAGAGACTGGAGAGGTTGGTGATTAAGTTGGGGTCTGAGTGCCGAGCTGTGAGTAATATATCTATATATTTGGATCGGGTTGCACGCCGTAACGAGCCTTATGGTTGTATATATGTGAATCGGTTTGCACGCCGCAACGAGCTTTATGGCTATATCTATTTATGGGATCAGGCTACACGCCGCATCATGTTTCATTGATTTATGCCATAATTGACTTGATATAGCGCTTGGGCTGAAGGAGTCCCTTCGGAGTCTGTACACATCCCCAGTGAGCGTAGGTACCTATTGAGTGCGAGTATCGAGTGCCGAGTGCTGAGCGACTGAGAGGAATGAGTGATTGTGAGGTTGGAGTAAATGGGAGGACTGAGTGACTGTTGCTCTGAGAGGATGTATTTGATTTCATTATTGCTGCACTTATATGTCATACCTCACGGTCTTGAAATTTCTGAAAGATATTATATTCTGCTTCACTTGGACTTGCCATGTGTTAACTGATTTGACTTAAATTGTCGAACTTGAGAGCATGCCTACTTTCCTATGTTGAAATTACTGAAATTGAACCATAATTGTAAAGCTCGTCACTACTTTCAGATCTTTATTTAGTCTTGTTAGTTACTGAGTTGGTTGTACTCACGCTACACCTTGCACTTTGTGTGCAGATCCAGGTGTTTCCGAACACAGTGGGTATTGATTCACTACGCAGTTAACCCTTCGGAGATCTCGAGGTAGCTGCTCGGCATTTTCACAGACCTTGTTTCTCCTTCCTTATCCTTCCACTTATTGTATTTAGTTTCGGACTATTATAGACAGTGTTTTCCAGACTTGTGATGTATAGATGCTCATGTACTCTAGGACACCCCGATGGTTGGGAATTTTCGCGTTGTGTTTTGGGTTTCTATCCCGTTTATTAGAATTTTTATTGTTTAAACTGCTTTAATTCATTTTCTGTTAAAAGTGTTGGAGTTATTTGAAAATGTCAGCTTGCCTAGTACCACGATAGGCGCCATCACGACAGTTTAGGATTTTGGGTCGTGACATTACCTCGTCAAGCAGTTTATCTGCTTGCTAAAAGGAAATGCTTTTGATTGGTATACAGACCTCGAGGCGGGATCTATTGATAGCTTGGATCAACTAGAGCAAGAGGTCCCCATTCGCTTTTATAGCACAAGGGGCACTGTGAGCATGGTGGAACTTACAAATACTTGTCAACGGAAGGGTGAACCAGTTATCGCCTTTATCAATCATTGGATTAATGCAAGCCTTAACTGCAAAGACAGACTTAGTGAAGCTATTCGCATAGAGATCTGCATTCCAAGGCATGCATTGGCGACTGCGCTACATCTTGTAATATATAAAGCCTAGCACATTTGAAGAACTTGCTACTTGTGCCATGGCATGGAGTTGAGCGTGGCCTCTGCTGGAAATGAAAGGTTGTTCATCTATGAGCTTTGCAAAGGGAACAACAAGCAAGAAGTCAGGAAGTGGACCAAGTTTGTACCCAACTATGAAAGCAGAGAAGCTATGAATGTCAACACATCACCTGTGAAGTTCACAATGACGGTGAGCAAGAAGCAGAGTATGAAATCCGCTTCTTTTCAAGATAAGCCAAGTGGAAAGTTGACTCTAAAAGAAATTCAAGAGAAGGAGTACCCATTTCAGGATTTTTATGTGCCAGCAACTTTTGAATAACTCCTCGAGTTAAAGCTCATTGAGCTTCCAGAGATGAAGCGGCGAAATGAAGTTGGAAAAATGAATGAGCCAAATTACTACAAATACCATTGAATTGTGAGCCACCCTCTGGAGAAGTGATTTGTCTTCAAATACAAAGTTATGGACTTGGATCGTGAAAAGAAGATCGTGCTTGAAGATGAGAAAGCAAGCGCAAACCATGTCTCTATCACCTTTGGCTCATTCGGTCCAGATGAATTATATAGTTTCAAAGAAAGTAAAGATGAAGAATTATTGGAGAACAACAAAGCCGAAATTGATCAGCCTGATGATGATGAAGGTTGGACGTTAGTGAGTCATCATAGGCTCCATAAAAGAAGCCTACGAAAAGAATCAATAGAACAACCAACAAGAAAAATGATGGTAAAAAGACCAAGAAAACAGAATCCAATTAAGCATTTGAGGAAAGCAGAAGTGGAAATGCACACCCTCAAAAGCCACGATATCTAGTGACATTAGTGGAGTTCTTGACAAGTTGGTTCTACACGAAAATTTTCCATAACGGTATCGAGGCCTCTTGTTTCAATGCTGATAAAGGAGAAGAGATGAGTAATGACTCACCGTTAGCACCATCTTCAGAAAAGACCATTGAGTCTATTCTTCAGGAAGTTAATGTTTGCAAGGAAAAGGTCAAATTCATGCATGATGACATTCTACTAGGTGATAGTCCTCATAATCGTCCATCATACATGGTTGGCTATATGCGCGATGAAAGGGTAAATCGAATTTTGATTGATGGAGGATCCTCAGTAAACATCTTTCCAATTCACATCGTGAAGGAACTTTGCATTCCCATGGATGAACTCTCAGAAAGCCACTTGAGAAAGATGAAGCAATCCAAGCTTTGTAAGAAGCACATTCTGGGGTATGTGGATCACATTAGTTTGGACCAAAGCTTCACTTCCATATAAAAAAAGATGGGATATTATTGGCCAACAATGGTAAAAGATTGCTTGGACTATGCTCGAAGATGCAAGGCTTGCCAGTTCCACGCAAATTTTATTCATCATCCTCCTGAATTGCTACATCCGACTGTTGCATCGTGGCCATTCGATGCTTGGGGATTGGATGTTGTTTGACCACTACCAAAATCTTCTGGCGGACATTTGTATATCTTGGCCGCAACCAATTACTTCTCAAAATGGACGGAAGCTGTTGCTCTCAAGGAAGTAAAGAAGGAGAATGTTGCAAACTTCATCCGAGTAAATATCATCTATTGCTTTGGCATTCCTCGTTACATAATAATGGATAATGACAAGTCATTCAACAATAGGTTGATGAACAAAATTTGTGGTCTCTTTGGCTTCAAGCAACGTAACTCTTCTATGTACAATGACGCCGCCAATGGCCTAGATGAGACATTCAATAAGACTCTATGCAACTTGTTGAAGAAGGTCTTCTCCAAATCCAAACTAGATTGGCATGACCGTATGGAAGAAGCTCTGTAGGCGTATAGAATAACTCACTGCACACCAACACAAGAAACCCCTTATTCACTTGTCTATAGAGTCGAAGCCGTTTTGCCCCTCGAGCGTTAAATACCTTCATTATGATTAGATATTCAAGAAGGGATCACTGATGAATAAAATGCTCAACTTCGACTAGAAGAGCTAGAGGCTGGAAGCTCAACACAGCCTTGAATGTTATCAAGCTCGATTGTCTCGCGCCTTCAATAAAAGAGTTCGCCCAAGATCCCTTCAAGTAGGAGATCAAGTCCTTTCCATAGGAAGATCCATTATTACTTCCTATAAACATGTAGGGAAGTTCACTTCAAAATGAGATGGGCCATATGTCGTACAAAAAGTTTATTCAAGTGGAGCTTACAAGTTGGTTGATGCATATGGCATGAGAATCGGCCCTATCAATGGCAAGTTTTTGAAGAAGTATTATCCTTGAAGTTGCAACGCTCCTTAACGCAAGATCATAAATTGTATATTACTCCTGGCTCGCAGGAGTATAAACTATGTATGACCAAAAAAAAGAGGTCCGCTAGGTTGAAAACCTCAAAAGAGACGACGTAGAAAAAAGTTAGGATGTTAAAAAAAATTACCCATTCTGAACTACGGTATGAATTGATACTCTTCAGCGAGGTATATAGGCATCTTAGAGTTTCATTCTAAGTTCAGTCGTATGAGTTTAAAAATATGTATCACCCCTAGCATTGTACAAGTGAAGTACGCCGGAATAAAATCTGCTTGTTGGCACCTAAACATGGGACCTTTACCTTATCAAAAGTTTGATGGTTCAATGTGGGCAAGTTTATAGGCTCGATAGTAGATTAGTATCTCTGAGGAGATGGTTAAAATCATTTAGAAGGAGGTAAAATCTTAAAGTTGAAGTTTTAAGTCCCCCGTCATTCAAGTGGAAGTCTTCAAACGTTCGTCATGTACAGAATCCGAACCCGTAAAATTCATCAAGTCTCCAAATAAAATGTTTCTTCATTTAAAGGTGCTTCTATATCAAGGTATCACCTTTTTGGACAAAGACGCTCAAAGCTGAAAATCCCAACGAGGCTAAATGCGAAGGTAAAATATAAAATATTACCTAGAACTATCCTAGAGGAAGTTGATATTAAATTTTGGATATGTCTTAAATTTTGAAGTCTAGTTTTCGATAAATCAAACGGTTCTTACTTTTGACATTTCTCCTCAAGATATGATTTTTTTGTGAAGCTGCGCAAATCTAAAATTGCCAACGTGGTGGAATCTAAAGTTGGTTTCAAAATATCATCTGTAGCGATTCTGAAGTTGTTTGATTGGGAATTTTGGATATATCTTAGATTTTGAAGTCTAGTTTTCAAAAACTCAAACGGTTCAGAATTTTGACATTTCTACTCCAAGTTATGAATTGTTTGGTCAGACTGCACAAAGCTGAAATTGTCAACATGGTAGAATCTAAAGTTGGTTTCAAAATATTATCTGAGATGATTCTGAAGGTGTTCAATTTCAAATTTCAGATATGTCATAAATTTTGAAGTTTAATTTTCGAGAAATTAAATGGTTCATGATTTCAACATTCTTACATTTAGATATGAATTTTTTACCACAAAGATGCAAAGCTGACGAGCAATATTGCATTCAAAGGAAGCAAATTGAAGAGTGAAAATTCAAATCTAGAGAACCTCTAGATGTCAACAACAACAATGTTTAAAAGAAAGTCAAAGCCTACTACATTGGCGTCAATATACCAGAATAAGAAAGCACTTGCTGATGTTAAACTATGAAACAAATAGTAAAAATATCCATGAGAATGTGCAATATAAACCAAAACAAAAGAAGATTTTCCGCTAATCAATTAAATGCAAAAAAAAAATGCAAATAAAATACTTCATATAGGCTAATCTAAACATAACTTGTAATTGACCAAGTCTTGAAGGGTAGCCTCTAAGTATTTCTTCCTCTTCTCCACGTCGGCCAAATCATCAGTAATCACCAAGGAAGCATCAGAACATCTACGGTACTTCTCTTCAGTAGATGAGACTCTAGATTCAATCTCTTCAACCTTTTTCTTGGCAGCATCTCGGAGAGCTCTTAACTGCTTCACCTTCTCCTTGGCCTCTTTGAGAGATTGACTGGTGGTAGATAGTTCCTCGACCTTCTCTCCTTTCTCAGTCAAGAAAAGATCAAGATCTTCCTTGGCTTTTAAAAATGACTCTAATTTTTTAACTTCCACGACCTTATCGGAAAGAATTGACAGTGCCTGGTTATACGAAGTGGGAAGCTCAAAGAAAGATTTCAATAGGTTCTTCAAAGGGAAAATATCCACACCCTTTCCATACATCTCCTCGAGAATCACTTGGACCTCATATGCAATAGAATAAACACGGTCTGCAGTAAGGTCGGAGAGTTTAGCATGAATTTAAGTCCAAGCATCCAAGATGAAATTCTTGTGAAGTGTCAAGACAACCTTTCTTTCATCAAAGATAGACATTATTGGTGTTGGTCGTTCGTGAAAATTAGACCCGAATTTTGCTTTAGCTCCACTATGAGGATTGGAAGTCGCCTCTAGCTCAGACTTAGATCGGAAGTAATTTCCTTGAGTCTGGCTCTGCCATAGATTCACTACTACCTTGTGGCTTGCTTTGGAGTGACACTATCGATATGTTGACATTGTTTGGCTACAAAAAAAAAAAAGATAAACAGTTAGTGCAGTCACTCGAGTATCATGGGTTGACAAGAAAGTTCAAATTATTACCTCTTTAATGGTTGTCAAAGTTCTTAAAGCACTAACATCGTCATCAGGAATCTCTACCACATGCAAATTACTGTCTCTTGGCTTATCCGAATATGGTTTCACTTTCCTCCAAAAACGTCTCCACGACTGCTACTGCTTTTGTCTTAGATGGTTGTTTGTTAGAAGCTTGATGAGTTTGAGCATGCGTCTTGTCTTTTTGAACTTCTTCACATGGAGTTTCCTTTCTTTTATGTGGCACAACCACTGTGGATTTCATGGGAGGAGGCTTGTCTTTCTTGCAATGCTCTTGAAGTGTGTCGGCGTGATGGCAATTAGCCCAATAAAAGTCACCAAGGATTCCAAATGATCTTCAAGAAATGTCTACAGGTACATTTAAGTTCTAAAAGTTTTCTAAAATATTATAATGCAAGTTGTTCAATCATATTTTGACATTTAAAATGGAGTTAGTAACTTGTCTCCATCCACCTCGAACAACTTGTGTATTTATAAATTTTGCCTCCCTATTTGTAAATTAGCGTGTTTATCTTATTCAATTTTCCTCATCTAAAAATATTAAACGTTGGAAGGAGGGAGTTTTTTGTGTCAAGAATTTGTTTTCCAGGTTTAATATAATTCTTTTGCTGCTCATTTAATAAGTAGCTATTCCTGATTGTTAATTGGCTAGCTCGTTCAATCACCTTACATTTGTAGTGTACCTGGACCATCTAATTTGATGCTTTAAAAGATATAGAACTCAAAAAATAAAAACAAAAAAAATAAAACCACTTGAGCACTAAGATAAAATAAATACATAGTAGCTTGTGTTATAAGAAAAACCAAATTATGGTGGATGTCTACTCTTCCTCCATGATTTTCTCAAATGCTTAATGACATATTCAATGACATATTTCTATGCTTAATGACATATTCAATGACATATTTTTCTTCACTTTTCATGCCCATATAAAGGCTTTGTAATAGATAAAAAAATATACACAATTGAAGAAGAAAATCTCTTCTTNTGTTATAAGAAAAATCAAATTATGGTGGATGTCTACTCTTCCTCCATGATTTTCTCAAATGCTTAATGACATATTCAATGACATATTTCTATGCTTAATGACATATTCAATGACATATTTTTCTTCACTTTTCATGCCCATATAAAGGCTTTGTAATAGATAAAAAAATATACACAATTGAAGAAGAAAATCTCTTCTTTCTCTCTATCTCCATTTCTTGTTCATGTTTTACTAAATTGCTTTTATTTCATAACAACATGTCTTGTTCATGTTTTACTAAGTTGCTTTTATTTTATAACACGTTATCAGCACGAATTGCTCATTTCATGATCTTCTACGTCAAGACTATGTAAATTATAAGCAGGCAATGAGATCAAGTACAATAAAAAATATCTTGGATGATAATACAAAGATAAGTTTTACATCCATCTAAACCCATTCATACTTTCATCTCTTTGCATTAACTTTATGTGCAGTATTTACTAAAAATATTTTTTTCAATTGTATCATGTGAAATAAAGAACTGAAAAGGTATGTCTTTATTTGCTACATCTCTTATAGGACAAAGATAATATTCCAACGTATATATATGTTCTGACCTTTTACATACTATGATAGATAATTATTAAGGTAATTTAGTAATAATATTTTTACCATAATATGATGTATTTCATTGAAAACAAAATTGGCATATATCCTAGTGAAATACATCGTGTTATGCCAACGCATTATCTATCAATGCATTATGGTCTAACATGCCTTTATATGGGTAAAGCATTGGGTTTGAGTCCTAATGCACTATATTGATAATAATAATAATAATAACTAAAGAAAAAATAATGTAATTTTCATGAAAAAGCATGAAGCTTGTCCCACTTGATTTGCTCCATTATTGAAGTGAATGTGATAGCAGTGCATGATAAGTCTAAATAAAGATAAAGTGGTTGACCAATGAATGCGGGCGTGCGAAAGGCCAAAATAATAATAGTTATCACTATGGTAATTATAAAAAGGGAGAAATTCTTTGAAGAAAATGTGACTTGTGATAAATATTGAGATTGCATACTCATTCCTGAAAGTGAATGTGAAAATATATATATGATAAATATTATGCATAATAATGTACTTGTGCATAGTTGGATAAATACTACAACTCACCTCTAAGAGAGGTTTCAGACAAAGAAAGATAATGAATATTATTGTGTAGTTACAT